CAATAGTGAGATACTCGCTTTGGCTCAGGCAGCATTCGGCTTTCGCGTAGTAATGATTCCGAATTAGAGCAAACGGATTTTCAACACCTTCCTGTATGTATGGCGGCTGTCTACCTTGGAATAGCGGTGACAAAACTTTACCGAAAATAAATAAATTTCTAACCTACTCAATGATAATCAGATAGCGCCCCATTTACATGCCTGCCTCATCTATTGGGGGCAGCTTGCAACTGAAGCCGTTCTTGGGGTATTGCCGTGTCCGTGGCCGTTGGTTCGAATACTTCATTTTTGCTGCGTTCGCGCTACTCGGCCGAATAGAACAGAACAGCACCCTACCGCATTTCCTGCTGTGCATTATTTGCCTTCCTTAGTCGGGCTTTGGCGGAACTTTGCCATAAACAAGTAAGTTGCAGTGGTTTGGAATACCTGTAGCTCCGATTGGTAGATAAGGTTTTGCTTCGTTCTCCCAGCTGAGTAATTTAATGAAAAGTACGTTGCCAATAAACATATGAGTACTAAATTATCACTTTAGCCGCTTGCATTTCAACACGAACGGATACAAATAAAAATATTCGTGACTACGGCTGACATTCTACTCCAACAGCCCAACTAGCGAAATTTATTTGTTATTTGAAGGCCGGACCCGATGAGATGATAGTGTGCTTTTATTCCTCTTAGAAGACAATAACCGAAAGTGTACTGTCCGAAGTAATCATTTGATTTCTTGCTTTGGCTTTCAGTATTCCAATCATAAACACATGATGAGGTACATCAAATGTGCACTTCACAACTTGCTGTTTTAGCAATTTTATTGGTAAAATATTTGATAAATTATTGTAGTTTATATTGATGGTTTTAGCACCATGTAATGTGTAAACATACCTATACGAGAAGTGCTTGTTAGATAATCCTATCACGTTCGAGATATCTAGTTGTTCGGGTGGGCCAGGGATATATCCCTATATCGTCAGTAGGCAGACAATTATTTCGTACTCCTTAATGGAGGCGAAATTCCTACACTGGTTTAAGAAAGCACAAGCTTTGTACATAGCACTTTATGTTTATTTGTTTTTCGATGTGCGCCTACGCGTGTATGTGACAACGTTATCCATGGCAACCATCGCTTCTTGTGGAATATTTGGTAAGTAATAGTGTAACATATTTGCGGGTAGAAAAGGATGAGTAATTGTTTGTCCTTTTTCACTGGCTTCCATGTGAACACGCAGGCTTAGCGCTTATTATGGCCAGCTAACGACAGGATAAAAGTGAGGTATAGGACGCGAAAACGAGAACGCGTTTCAACTTCAGATGTTGATTTCCATATAGGCTTAACAACTTTGAGTTCATTGTGGTCTAGTAAAAAAGCATCTTAACATGGTTGAAAAAATAAAGCGGACGTGCTTTAACGTTTTTCTTCAGTCACTTTTTCAATAGGTTCTGTCCACAGAGATGGACGGCCAGCCATCGTAAATAACGTCCTTTCGGTCACAAGCAGATGCAAAACGGAAGCTAAAAATAACTAGCAGTATCTGTCCAGGTACGCTCTTAAATAAGCTTTCACATTCCTAGCATGTCCATCATTTGCCTAAGATGCGTTACTATTGCAAGAAGTCGTAGTTCTTGTGATCGCGAGTGACCATTGAGCGTCATGTGTTAGGCATATTTAAGCCCTAGCGACACCAAGTTGAAACTTATTGGACGACATTTGGTCACACAAAATAATTATAGGTTTAGCTTACCGGCTATAGTAAAGCGTACCTACTGTTCAGGAGAAGCATTCGGCTCAACGCTGAAAGCTTTGCAATCAAGGTGAGTGTATTCGCGGTATATTACAAGGTTTTGTTGGAAATCCATTCTTAGTGACTGGAAGTCGTCCCGTTTCAGACGAATTTAGGTCACTCGAAAACATTTTTACTTTGTCCAGACGATTATAATATGGCCTACTTATAAGTTTGAGTTAGATTGCGACTTAACCACAACGGTGTTTGCAGCTAGGCAAAATGCCTTCAAAATATATGTTAAGGGTGCTTTAAGAAAATCATTCAGAGTAACCAAACGTAATCCAAATACTTTCCATTCTTGGCGGCAAGGGGCACAAATTACTTTACATAACGAGCTACAAAAATCACACCAGCAGATTTATTTTGGTCACTTATACGAACTGTAGCCTTGTGGTTTGCATAGCTGAGTAAGGCGAGAACGTAATGAACATTTAAATGTTTTGTAATGGAAATGGGGACCGATTTTACTACGTAGCTTAGGCAGGAAACTTGAGGCTTTAACGTACGACCCTACTGTATGGCGGACATGACAAAAGCCCCTTTTTGTTTCCTTCATGTAAACAGTTGTTTCCGCCATAGTACACTGGAGGTGACGCAAATCTATTGGAACCAAATGAACTTCACTTATTCTTACAGGGAAGATGCACACTACCTAATAGATAGCGTGATAATTTACAATTTGCTGACCATTTATTGAGTAAACCGCTTACATACACGTAGTTGCGCAGCATTTATACTACAGGTATGCGTTATGTCACAGAAAAGGTTCGTATTCATATTATTGCATCTTTAAGGAATATCCATGTGTTTGCATGCACCGATACTTTAACTCGATAAACAGCGCTATGTTTAACCTTTTTCTACGCTGCTATAACAGATATATCATCACCAATTTGCAGCACCAGGAGTGTGTTAGCAACTGCGCAGAACCCAGGATCTGTATTGTAAAAGCATACGGAACGCGACCTAGTGCAGATGTGTCACTCTGCCTTGCATTGCCGAATAGCAAACAACGTTAACCCTTCACCTGACCTGTACAAGTCTTGTGCAGTCAATTTAAGCCATGTTAAATTTGAAGAGTTTGAGCGACAGTGATTATATTTCCTGGCTTTGACAACAGTGTATATATCTGGCGAATTTAAGAATGATGGTATGTTGAGGATGTAAGTGTATTCATTTATTGCCACGTGCAAGGATTTTATCGGAGCATATTAGTGCCCGCCCATTTAGGTCCTAATTGTATAGGGTGATATTAGTCGTTTCGTCGGAGAAACACACTTTAAATTTCAACAATATCCTGAAGTTCATTTAGGACCCTTGCTGTATTTCGAAGCATGGACGCTAGATTTCTGGGATCAAATGTTTACAAACCTTTATAACATCCGCAAATATGCAGTGTCTACCGTAGGTCATAAAACAATAGGTGTCATGTATTTAAACCAGGAAACATGGCACTTCCAGAAAGCTACCTTAAATGACGTCGCATGCCTCCAGGGTGCGACAGGGTGTGTGCTTTTGTTATTATGACCCGTTAGGATTCGGTCGGTAAGGTGTGAAGTGAACCAGGAAAGAGTAGTGGATTGAAAATATCATAATTTCTCTGGATTAGTCAAAATCCAAATATAGGTACATGGTCAGGAGTCTTTTGCACGAAGCAGTTGAATGGAAGGGTCAAGTATTGTACCGATCATCTTTTAATAAGGACTCCGATGCACTACGTTTAAAACTTGAGCTTAATTCGTGTGCTTGTCCAAACCAGACCATCTTAATTTGCAAGGCACAATTCTTAACGATTTAGTTATGCAAATATGTGCACGTGGAGCGACGTTAGTTTAAGCAATTCTTCACTCATTCGCATTTTTATGAACCCACACTATGTTGTGCAGCTGTCACAAAATGCCGCATAGATAAGAATGGGGTAAATCTGTGCTACTATATAATATATATATATATAGACTTCAGCCACCCGAAAAACGTCTGTCATCTTTTGATGCAAACCGCACTGTCGATTACAGTGGTAATAGTTGCTTTGTTCGGTGAATACTTGACAAACGTATGGACCACTGCCAGCCTCCGATTTGGTAAATATGGTATCGAAGCACTCGGAGACATCTGAGTAACCGCATCGACCCAGAGCAACATGGAGGCGTTGGTACCGGTTGAAGTTACAAAACCTAAGGTTGAGGTTATTGAACATATAACCGATGAGGTGAGTACACGGACTCTAAGAGCGTAATGGCAATTCATATTACTTGATGCTAACATGTACGAGTGGTAGATAGATGTAAGGTTTTTCGTAGGTCGTCATTTAGTGCAAAGTGTACAAACACTTTACATAAAATTTGGTCTAAACGTGTTGTTGAATTCAAGCAGTCTGATCATGAACAACGCTAGTGAACAACTGTAAAACAGCTCAGCACAAAACCAAGAACTGTCAAAAAAATTAGTTAGAACGCTGTAGTTTATCAAAAGCTGTACACCTGAGTGATCATGATGAAAGTAGATGGTCGGATATTGCCTTAATTTTACTTGACTACAGCTACAATACTTACTCCAGTTTGGGCCGCGGAGGAATATAATATAGCAAGTGACACCCATGTTCGGTCGGAAACTTTCTAATTACCAATTTATATTGCTAAACATTTATATTTCCATATACTTAATGAGCTCAACGTTTAGCGAACTAAGAATTCCTAGACAAGTTATGTATGCAAGTGAAAAAACAAGAAAAGTACTTTTTGTAAACAGGAGCTTGTTGAAGCCAGCAATTGCATTTACAGCTTAACTTAGGGAACATAACTGCAAGGTAACTAGCTAGTATGAAATAAGTTCCCCCTTGAGAGTGTTTGCCATGTTAATTTTGCTAGCCGAGATAGGTGCACAACCGAGAGCGCAGGTTTTCCCCAGCACTTAACAACTTGTGTTAAAGTGAGCAAGAATTCACTTCATGTTTGGTTTACTTTCTCTTTTTCATTGTTAACTTAAGGAAGCCTCCTTAAAATTTGGCGCTTCTGGGCAAAAATTCGTCTACAGCCTAACCATTCTCACTAAGCGCTACTAACAGTGGTCCAACTGGTCCAAATGTGATCCAACTGACTGTGTCCAGCGTCGACGCCGTGAATGTGCTGCAAGAGATCTTGGAAGCGATCCGAAGTCAATAGATCAGGTGCAAGTAGCTGTCCTAGTAAATATTACGAAGTGACGCGCAAATGTAAGAATATGAAAACTTGTATAACGTATGGTGAGTATCTCGCACTTCTGAGATTGATATAATACTTGACTAATTACAGTTTACTCGTTGTCACGTGCACGTATTATTCGCACGGTGCTGATGTATACTGCGGTTTAAAATGGAGCGGGCGATTGTTTTATACTACTACTAATTCCCGCCTGTGTTCTGTTGGTTTACTTTAAACGTTTGCACCAGATTCTTGAATCCGTACGACAACCAAGGAAATTGTAACGGTTTACACATGCTTTGGAAACATTATAAAGCATGTCTGCTATGTGGCGAACATTACATTGCAATGCTATATGATCCTGCTTCGGTCAAAGATAACAATGTCATACTGTATACGTGGACTAAAAATTATTTCACTGCGCTAACGTCTAATAAGTTGGTGTCATTTTGTATCAAAAAGAGTTTCACAAACAGATGCTGAATCGACGACTGATTGTAAGATAAAAATACCGTTTCGGAGTTAACGAATGTAGAGAGCAGATGCCCTAACCAAGGTAGCGTTTAATTGGCTGATACGGGTTTACAAATATTTTAGACGAAACAACTGAATTAAACACATTTCTGATGCACATAATAATTTTGGAGAGAATTCGGTAATTTAAACTTTAATTCGTATTGTTCACCTGCGGTCGAACATAAATGTTTGAGTGGAATCAATCTATATCACTAGCAGTGGTTTTATTCATAAATGGAATTAGATATCCTGTGAAATATAGGCAATCAATCACAGGAAAAATAAAATCGTTTTATATAAGTGTGGATACCTGATGAGATGGCGCGGAAGTATCAGAATGAATTGAGGAAAAGTGTTGAGGCACTCATTTATGTTTTATAGTGATTTGCATCCAAACTGCTAATCATTAGTAGCGTAAAAACATCGCATTGAGTTTTATGCGTTCTTTAGTAGACAATCGATCGCCTAGCTCAGATAATAACTTGTGTTTTAAGGCCTGTGCGTTAAGGGTGCGACTTCTATTTCACATTATATTAGACTATTATTCTTCTATGTATATTCTCCAATAAACAGTTTTATGCACAATATTCTATTGACAATACCGTTACCTTCTGGTACTTTGCTAAACCGTTAATGACAGTTTAGTGATTGGATTAGCGAAGACTAGTAATCTCTATATATCTAGCGGCATATGTTATTATACTAATAAGCGCATGTAATTTTACTGTAACCAATGAGTATAATCTAGCCAACTTATAATACACGGAGTGTTTATCCTCTGCACCGCTAAATTACAGCATTTAAATGCTTGCTGCCCATGACGTACTGTTCGCCATTGTTGTTCAAATAAACTAAGTTTAGTGTGAATGGACAGATAAAAATAATATTTTAAGGTTAAAGCTGCGTTTAGTGTAAACTTGCTCACACAACAGTGTACAATTGGATTTGCTTCGGATTAAAATACAGCACACTAGAATGTTTTAGCGTAGATTGTAAGGAAACGAACTGCTGTAGGGAACCGAAAGTTGTATTTGCAGATGAGGTTTCTAATCTTTCACATCGCATACAAGAAATATGACGTGATTAAACTTTATTGCCAAAAGCCTGCTAACTGCGAGCAATACCGTAAATATAGTGAGTCAGTAATGAGGTACAAAGCTTTCGCAAAGGTATTATATGGATCCGTATTAGCAAGGCGAAAGGATTTCAGTTTAAATAAATTGGGACCCCACTGTAAATAAAATGACTTTTGTCCAACCAACTTGGTGTTTATGAGAGCTTAATGGGCTGTTAAACTATTACAGAATCAACCTAAAGACAGGCTCCTTGGTAGATGTAAACCATTGAAGATTATTAACTTTTTTGGCCGGTGTGATTTAAAAGATGAAACCTATATTTGACGATAGGAAACGGACACATTATTACAATAGTTAGAGTTTTACGGTTTAATTTACTAAGTAGCCAACAAGTGTTATATTTTACCATCGCATTCAAGCCAGTGTTCGCTGGTTCTTTATTATTAGAAAAATATGATAATAATATGTGATTAAAAGCTTTGCGTTATATTTGTTTTTGCATATCATGACACCTTTCATAGCAAGGAATGTTTTGATGGAACTGCCTTCCAGTAACCAAATCACAGAGAAAAACCTTTGGAATGTTTTTAAACAAACCAAACGCAAACAGCGAAAATTTGGTTTTTAACTGTCTATGTTTCAATATTTTTCAACACTCAACTTCGTTATCAATCAACGCTGATCAGGGACAACTCCCTTTAAAAGAGACTAGAATTACTGTGCATGTTATTTAAAATAACTGCCCCAATTCTGGTTGCGGTTTATTTATAATTTGATAGTCCTGCTACAGTAGCTTTGTATGCGAAAGCATGATTAAATTTATTCATTAAATACTATGTGCAGATGATCATCACTAATGCGGTAAATGGGCTTAAGAAAAAGATGAATTAGTAAATAATATTTCACTTGTTGCTGACCAGCTATGTTGTATAATTTTATTCATAAAATTACTACACTCCTAATGTCAGAACGCAGGTCCTAAAAACCGTGTTATTGTAGTGCCTCGAATTTTCCTCTTATATCTAGAGATTGGCATACTGAGTTTTAATGTGGCTTTTTCAGTTTCACAGGCAATTATACATACAAAAGTACATTTAAAAAATTGCTGAATTCCTACGTGAATATTTTACAATCATTTAAACTAAACATTCCAGAATCCCATTTTCGAAGTATTCCCGTAACCAAACAGGCGATTATATATGGTATCAATGTATATTATGGCATAAATAACGTTGCTCCTGCATTGCTCTTAGTTGCAATAAAGGTGCAAACGTTTTCGTTTAGGATGTGGCGGTTGACAGGTATATTTCGTATTGAAAGCACAGAAGAAAAAAATTATAAAGAACTTCGAAATGGCTGCTAATGTTTCAAAGAAAGGTCTTTTCTTAAACATTAGTATATCTACGAACAGAAAGTGAGCACTTTAGCCTTAACTAGTATAGTTAGGTCGCTAATACTCATCAGTATTATAAAATCTGTCCGGTTAGCTTCTAATTCCTTAGTGGTACATAGGCGCTATGCGGAAATCCCTAGCTTATGAGGCTAGACTTTGTCCTCTCTATATCTCGTAACTGGCATTTCAGTGGAAGATGTGCCGAGCTATGTCTAAGTAAACTGTCAGTCACGCAGGTTTACTGCTGTCACCCTGGGTAAAGTGGCACTAGCTGCTGGCATCCTGAAGTCAACGGTACGGTACACGGCAGGGGTCTGCAGAGAGGCGCACCACTGACGAGACCCATAAGGTTGCAAAGCCGGCGTCTGGTGCTTTTCCATACTAGTTTAAGCCTGCTGATTGAAGTTGGCGATGATGAATTAGTTGACTTACTGTGAATGCTTAGGTGCCTATTAGAATTATATAATAAGCATGCATTTTGGCTTCCCTTTCACATAGTGGTTTGCAGGTACACGCATTGCCAATCCACCTAAAAGTATCGTAAAGACTTTCTAGCTTTCCAGTCCATAACGTGGAATGCCAAGTTTCCGGCGTTTAACGGTTTGAAAAATGCCATTACGCGATAACATTTCCTCCCAATTTTACGCTTTCTATCTTTGATATATCGTGTGTAGAATGCAGTTGCCTTGTGTATTTTTGACGGTGATGAAGGATTGATGATGGCAGAAACTGAGATGTTCCCTGACTGTAATACCGTAGCTTTGTACACCTTCTATTAAAACCACGGCAAAGCCATCATTTAACAAATTTAATAAAGTGTTTGCGGGAACTAAGCAACTGCTGATTTTGAAAACTAGCTTACTTATTTCAGGACAAACACAATTTACTCGTGTGGGCACGCTTTAAAACCGTTTGGTCAAGTGTCTACTGGCATTGCGACCACTATGTTTAATGTCTTGACTCAATATCATCGATCAAGGGGAACCGTATGCGCATAGCAAGTGTAACTTTTTGTTGTTGTAGTGTTTATATGACGTGACAAAATCTGCATTTGTGGTAATTAAGTGGGTAAAACACTTGGCAATAGCAGATATTTCGTATTGTCGTCCGCGACAAATCAATCAAGATAAAATTAACTGATTTTCAGCAACCAAAGTCAATCTATCGGGTGTTTACCGGCAGAATAGTATGTTTTACTTTTAATGCACCCTAGTTTGGATAAATATTGTAAAACTTGCAACAGTGGTATTATTTTTGGTAAAGTTGTGATCACAGACAAAACGTTATTAGAAAATCGCTTACCAACTGGATTGTTCCAGGTTTTATAACCGGGGCTTATTACATTTTCCACTGCTCTGCGATTTGAGTTGCGCCTTTAAAGTATGCTTATATCATGGTTGAACAAACCTAAATAGTCGCCAAATTTTTCACGATCATATTGTTAAAACAGCCAGCAAAATGGACATAGCGATTTTGATCAGCCGCTTTCCAGAAATGCTTTTAGGTTCAGCGCAAAAACGTCTGTCTGATTGTAGTGAGGTATGCTAATGCGCATTGATTCCGTGCATATCTACAAAATCGTTTTATTCTCGACAATGCTTAACGCGCCTTATCAGGCATATTCATGTTGTGATAAGCAGGTGAGAAGAAAAATGTACAAAATTCATGTTTACCATAACAGGGCATGTGACTATGGATGTACTTGTGCATATGTGTTGCTTTGTAGCTTGAGCTTGTAAGCATGCCGCTGTATTTATGACTGTTTGCTAAAGTCAGCGATGTATCGACAATCGATTGAAGTTTGCGTATTAATTAGACTTATCCAGAAATCTACGTGGCACTGCATTTAGTTCTTGTCGGGTCACATTCACTACTTCATAAGGTTGATAAGTGGATATTGCGGCTTTATATAGGAAGACATTTTGCCACGCGAAAACCGAGAACGTCCTCCAACATTATCGTTAAAGTATTTGATGGAACGTTTTACTTCTGAACCACCCAGCTGGCACAACGAGGAGGTCGTTCGGGCAGCCAGGCATTTGGTGTGACGTAGATAGTTGCTAATTATAGATCGTTTGTTCCAAATTAGTGTCTTTTGGTGAAATGTCGACCATAATATTCGACTTTGCACGTATTAGTTCTGATACGCGGGGTTGGTTTTCAACTCATCATTTGGTAGGTGCGATGATGTGGAGATTTTATAAGACACTTACAGTGAATTATAGCGGCCTATGCTTGCACGTGCTGCCGTCGGATGCTTAGGCTATCAGGATGTGCCCGTTTATTTTTGAAACCTATGAAAATGATAAAACATCTTAAGCGCAAACATAAGAAAATGAGTCAGCAAACCAGCATGGTTTACAGTGGTTACTCTTTAGGGCACGCCACCCTTAAGAATGCCTTTGATATGTAAGTAGTAGATAAGAGTAACTTTTCGGAAGCCTAGATAGACTAAGTGCCCAAGATAGGTGATTGGTCCTACAGCAATCCTAAGTGTGTTAAGTTAAGCTCCAATGTGTCCCCCTTAGATGGGGCCGGTGTAGGGTTAGTGACCGTATGACTTTCATATGTGCCATTAAGTAAAATCTGACCGCCCGTGTATATCAACTGGGTCCGCGGTAGATGGTAAGGCACGCATTATGTGTTTTGACTTGTTGGTTTGAAGCAATCAAATAAGCAGGCAAGGCGCTTGCCGCTGTTCTGTTCAATCCACTATACAGCCAATCTGAGCAGCGCTGCCGTGGCTATCTCAGACAGACATACGATAGATGTTCCAATATATCTTGATCGATACGCACAAGAAAAATAGTGAAATTAAGGAAATACTTGACGGCAAAATCCTGTCTTTATGATGTCTAGAAATCAGAATTAAGCTTAAAGCAAGGTCGAGCTTAGACGGAAGTCCATGCACTTAATCAAAAACAGTGAAGAAACGGTTATCACAGTGTAGATGCTAACGTATATAAGCCGCAATCGGCAGCATAGTGAATCGGTGACTCCCATTGCCTGATCGTCCACTGCTTCGTAATGTATTTCCCTGCAACAACAAATAAGTATGCCCCCAAATAAATTGGGTGACATATTCAAATTTGCGATGAGCGTTAAGTTCCGATCTCAGATTACGCAATGCATGGGCGGAAACAAGTTTGGGTTCTTAAAATACGATTGCTTACATGTATTTTTATTGCAGTCGGAATCAGGCGAGTTTACATAGGAGGCATTGAGAATGGGTAGAAGTATTTTTCAGTTTCAGTAGAGAATCAAATTAGCCGCAAAGCGCATAGAAGCTTGCGTTAAACTTACTGTTGTAGTTTGGTGCTGTTCATGAAATCAGCCCAATCTTAATTTCTATATCTAACAACACATTTTGCGCCGTGAGGCAGAAAAACATAGAAATAGTGGCAGCATCTTGACACACATGATAGACAATAATATATAGAATGCGGTTGTAGCCATAGCTCTAATCGGGTCTGATTTATCAAGGAATCAAAAATGCGTAGTCAAGAATATGTACTGCAGTAATTCTTTGTAAATGGAAACGCTTTATTTTCTAATTAGGTATGCTTGAAAACTGTGGAATCCAAAGCGCGAACGAAGACACTGAATCGAACCCTACTGGAGATAAAAGAACAACACCGAATTCATGGCCATGGCTGGTGAGTTCGAGCTGTTTTACACAATCGACAGTTTAGCTTAGCAACTGTTCTGTGTTAAGCACCAAATAATGCCATTCGGAATATATATCAGCGATAAATAAATGTATCGCCAACTTGTTGGCCGAATGTAACTACAAGTGTACTCGTTGGAATTCATGCCGTCCACTGCTGTATATCTTGCATTCGTTATAATTCGAAGTAAGCTGTGAAGCTCAAACATTCTACAAATAACTGCTTTCGGTAATGTTCCTAAAGACGGCATGCGCACCTTCAACTTACACATGAAATATTTCCGAATTGGTCAAAGTTTTACAGACTACTTATGTGCATCAGTTGGAACAAAGTTGCAAGAAATATAGGTGCATACTGTACAGTACTATTTATGAAGTTGCGCTTAGTTGGTATTTAAATTCAAAAGCCCGGATAATGTGTTTGGGACATCACATTCCTGGGATAGAGCTTTGAAGAAATGTGTGGATGGCTCCAAACCGAATGACGAAAAACACATGCATATAACTATTTGTACAACTGACTATTAAATTTTATGTTGCCTTGTCCCGAACATCTTTCATGTGATTGTAGCAAACTAATCCAAAAACATGTAGGAACATCCGGCAACGCCGTTACAATTGCCATCCGTTGCCAAAAGTTAACATTTAATTATAAAAGCATAAAATGTATATAAGTGTTGAGCTTATACACTTACGGAACAATTTCTCACATCCACAAAGGATCTGCGATCTACTTATTTGTTTATTCAGCTACTGTTTTAGCATTTCTAATAAAGATGTAAATAACTGTTGGATAATGTTCCTTTGCATGTCTAGTGACGTTAGTTTACACAGATAGAACTTATATTGAGCTGAAAAAATAACCTAAGTTATTGCTTGCACCAGATTAAATGATTCTGTGGTAAATTGCAGTTAGGAAATTAATACTTTATGTGCAGCATTTACGTGGTTAGTCAGCTATTTGCATGGAAGAAATAGAAGGAAAAGGAAAATGAACGCATGATGGCACAGAAATATTTTTCACACTGCGAATTCGCAAATTAGTTGCGATCTGTCAATATTACACAAATCACTGTAGCAATTCCTAAATTGGGTGTAACGGCTTACTTAACGAACTAAGCATTTTAGTTGGGTAACGTTAGTTTGAATGGGGTATTACGGGTACTGAAACATTAAATACTATCTGGCAAGTAGGTTAAACGCCTATAGCTAGAGAAAAGTTCCACACAATCAGAATACCACCTCTTCCTTTGTGCCTAACCAATTATTAAGAAAAGACGTTAACCTGCATCTTTCATAATAACAATACTAAAATTCCAGTTGAATAGAAACAAATAAAACATTTTGTTTTATTACAGGGTGTCCCGGAAATTGAGTTTTGTTGCCAAGCTAGCTGAATCGAAAGTAAAACCTGCGTCAGTAATCGGAGTGAGAATATTGTTGCAAATAAGCTGTTTGGTCTTTGAATGCTGGAGCTAAAAGTTGTGAAATAAAGGTAAACGTGGACAAACCGAAACGTACCTAAGGATGCGGTGATTGACAATTGACTGATAACCATTGCCTAAAAAATACATTCTCCATACAGTGCAGTAAGACACTAGTTGCAGAATATATTATTTCGTGCGCTGATGCAACCACAGCAATAGCTTGAAACTTGGACATGAAGGCACATTGCGTCACAGACCACTGTAGAATCATAATTAGTAAGGCAAGCGTTTCTTTCCTCAAAGAATTTTGAGTGTGGCTGTCCGCTGTTTTACATAGAAGTTTAAGGAGATTGAAATTAATATATACACTCGGTGCGAGTTTGATTATTTTCGCGTTAAGACCATGGTAGATAATTGTAAACGCATCGGCCGGGTCAAATGGATTATCTGTACACTGTTAGTGCTATCAAAGGTGGAAGTCTGTATTTTGTATCTCAAAGCTGTTCCTCATGTTCGACCTTATACAACGACATCAGCACACTAGGAATTCATTCAATGACCCGTGTGCGCTGACACCGATCCGTTATGCCGATGGAATTACTTAAGCAACTACAGACAATCTGGTAAATGCTGCGTGCCTTGACGAAAAGCTTTTGGGTAAGCAGGATCAGAAGCGCTGCTAACTTCGTGCTTGTCCAAAGTGCGACTAGATTGACAGCACTGCGTCTTTCGAAATACTGTGGCTACGGGTTGCTCTACTTGTTTTGTCACAACGTCTCCTTTAAAATGCAACTGCAGGTAGGTGGCTATTTCTGACAAGTGAAGGGAGCTGATCGTGGTTCTATTCCATCCAGCGGCCGTGGAATATGGATGAAAGTAGCCATTTTCCCGCAGAGTCTGCGTAATAAATTGCAATTCAGACTTCACAAATTTATGTCTGCATATTCTACGAGCTATTTGAAACGGAGTTTGAGGTGACGGATTTTATGCTGGACTGGATTAACGCTACTGGTTTTTCATATAGTCCCGCCCAAGTTGCATATAGCCAAACAGATCGCTCTATCCAGCTGACTGTTATTCATGTCAATAACGTCCGAAAAGGCAAAGTGGTTGGTCTCTTTTGTAGATGTAAACCGGGACCTTGGGTGTGCGTTTTTCTTCGCCATCCTTGAATTGCTTTGTTGGAATAAAACTTATTTCCCCATGTATTATCCTGAACTGGTCCATAAGGGTAGGAGTCTACGAGATCATGTTTTAGGCAAGTGATCCATTTTCAATTTTTATGGCTAAAATCTTGTATTTGCATATGATCAGGAAGCCCGAAATGATATATTCTGAAAATAATTGTCTTTTCACTGTACTTTGTTATATAATACAGAGTACACTTTACTTGTAATTGTTGGTTAACTGTTTACTATTTACTATGAAAGATTATGGGAATTTGCATATTATTCTTTTATGTAACATATGCGCGGTTCACTATATTTTGTTAGGCGGACTTTCTAAAACATTAAGTAATATATTGAAGTTTCCAAGTTTTGGTATTCCTGATGTCTTGGTTGTTAAACCAATAAAGCAGGTCCAAACATTGTGGCTGTATTTATTGGAAAGCACATCACCATTGATTTGTTATTTTGTTTTCCGGAAACGACATCGTTTTCGTTGCCTTAGGAACGGTACACTTTGTGCTAAAAACGCACCTTAATGTTAACATTTTTACATTTTTTGTCTATAAACGACCAGGGATTTTATTTTTACGGAAGGCTTTAAATTGGCTGCTGCTCATTGTTTTGCCACAAATGTCAATACCAAATGAAACGAAATTTTGAGAAACCATTTTTCTAAACGCTTTTCCCATTTAAATGGATCCAAATCCCGAAGGGTTATTCCAGCTTTTTGGAATCGTTACTTAATCGATCAATGACAGGTAATCTTCATTTTTCTACCGATTGTAAACTTTCTATTTTTAATGTAAACATAATAGTAAAGGTTCACTCAACAATGAAATGCTGAAAATGCGCCTTTATGTACATAAAGCCTAGACTGACTTGGCCTGACTATCAGTTACATATATATTAACAGCGCTAAAAGCTGTTGCAACGTAGCATCGCATCCATTGCAGTTAACTAAAGATTAGTAGTGACAAATGCTCACCTTCATTGCTCTTCATATAAAAAATCTAAATGCATAATATTAAAAATGCACGGGAATATTTTAAACCATTCATACTTAATTTAAACATGCTTAGGTTCGGTTGGTTACAACAGACTCTGAAGGAAACGAAAATTATTGGTGCAGTGGGACGCTGGTTTCACGGGAATGGATCGTTATCGCAGCTCACTGCTTTACAGATAACGGCTGGGTTGTTGTTTCTGGACGGCTATCTACTCCAGAGGAAACCATTGGTACAACACTTTACGCTTATTTGGGCAACCATCGCCAAAGCGTTGATCACGGTACAGATGAGAAACACTTGATCAAAACGGTGTTTATTAATACCTACTATGAGGCTTTTGAAAGCGATAAGGGTAATGATATGGCGTTACTGCAATTAGCAAAACCTGCAGAATTGCGTGAGTTTCAGTTTTTGATAAGCAAGTATTTTGTGATGACTAATGTTTGACTTTCGCTAACGTTTGCGAGGATCTTATTTAGGGTGTTACTTTCATTACTACCTGATAAGTGCAAATGTCTATGTAAGAAAAACATTACTCCCGTCGCTATATTTTGAAGTACGGCCAAAATGAAGCTAATAACCTATGTGAGAGCTGCAATATACTTGCACAGCTCGCCGAAAGGGCGGACGATACCAGCTAAATACAGTGCGAATATTCATATACATATATATATATATATATAATTACCAGCATCGAAAGTAGCGTGACATTGTAAGAATTTCCAACTGCGGAAATCTTACGATGCTGCTGTTGGCTATTCACACCGTTTCTCACTAAGAGCAGTTAAAAATTTGTATGTATATAGACTGGATTACCAATCACATTGAGATTTGTATGTCCCTCAAAGTTCTAATTTTTACTGGCAGATAATGCACACCCTAATCAAAGATAATGCAAACAGTGAAACAAACATAATTGGCATCCATTGGCGACCCGTAATGTACCAGTGGAAAACCGTACTGACAAGTTTTGCGGACACAGTGGTACAGCTTGTTTTGTCAAAATGTAACTTACCAAGCTGCAAGCGGTGAGCCAACCTCTTTGTGGTTTCTGGCAACAAATCGCTAGAGCTTTAGCAAAATGTAGCAGGATGGCATTGCTCTATTGGCTACCTATCGAGAACGGATTGCGGGGTCTTTGAAAATGATGTAGGCTAGGATGCACTAAGCAATGAATCTGAACGGCAGCTATGGATCTTGCGAGACTATATACTTTGGGAAGAACGAAGGAAAAGCTGTCAACTACGATTCCAGAGCACGTACCATTTAATATACGTGCAAGTCGTCTCAAACTTCCTGCAAGCTTCATAGCTCATCGAATCCTAGTGTGTATTTTATGCCGCAATCCCCGCAAACGGTTGCAGATAAATCGCCAACAAAGCATGTGTTACATGATTCAGTTTGCTCAAACTTTAGCAATTTGTTAGCTGAAACCTAATTTGTGTAAACAGTGTGAGTTTTGACCAGCCGCTTATTGTCTTTACATATACCTCGGTGGATTTAAATTTGGAATGAAGTATAATAATATCGGCTTTCTTTAAGCACGACATTTTCCACTGACGTTACGCTACCAGGTGATGTGAATACTCAAATTATCTTAATTCAGATTAGCCTGTTTAAATATTGTTCATTATACCTATTGCAAAATTATAAATTACTTTGGTAGCAAATCTTACAACGATGTAGCTTACTGGAATTTAATGAATTATGGGGTTATAAATGAAATCGGCTGCAATAATACAGCACTGAGTATCTCAGGCAATGGACAATTCTCCAAAATATGGTTGGCATGTATAATTTGCATTAGTAATGTGGCTTAACTATTAGAAACAACGACAAACACCGTCGCAATATTGTGAATGTTAAATTTTCACAAACTAACTAAAGTTGCTCAGAAAGTGCCACTGATGATAAATAACAAAACCGAAGCCAGTATGTTAGTTTCCTAGCAATATTAAGGCAGTTGCAAACATCTGCTACGAATGGGTTTGCGTTTTTCCTAATCCAGCTTACCACAAACCAAAGCGCATATTGCGCAATATGATGTATCGCTTACATATTTGGCGTTGCAGGAAAGGAAGTCAACTATGCTTGCGTAGCGAGACAGCATATTGAATTTGAAAACGGCACCCAATGCTACGCTGTTGGTTGGGGGCAGATGCCGAGCAACATTGAAAGTAACACGAAAATCAACTCACATGCCATTTCCCATGGTCCGTTTAACACAACTGACATAAACGCCGATAACCAGCTTCTGTCTATATCCAATACATCTGAGTCAGTTGAGCTGCAGGAGGTCATTATGCCTATAATGAGTGCAAGCAAATGTCTTGAGTACTATGGGAAGCATCAAACAGAATCGCAATTTTGCGCGGGTTGGAGGTTGAAGGTAAGCAACTGCAGACATCTTTGTATGGATTTTGTAATATTACAATCAAACCTTGAAACGTTGCGAGCACATAGTGCGTCTCATAGCAAAAATTAGTCTGGGTTCTTCTTCTTCTTAGTTCCTCTAAGAAAAGTAAATGATTCTTCTTGACATTGGTGAAGTTGCGTTACTAGCATTTCATTAGAACAATGCACGGTGGATCGTAGAAGCTAAACCCAATGACCAATCCCCGTTGTTCCCGTCGATACCAAGGGCGTAGTAAATGACTCCACTTTCCATTTAACTAGTAAAAGTACCTTTGTCGTTTTTTATATCAACCAGTTACCCCTAAGTATTAGCAGGGTGTACGGATTTTGTTTTGCAGCCCAACAAGCTGAGGAAAACTCATTCAGCAATGTATTCCTTACAACAAGTCGTTGGTAGTCCATCCTTCAAAGTTTACTCTAAATATCAGATCCTATTGAAGAAGTGCAGATTGGAATAATTGTCATATTTCTTAAGACGGGGACCATGTTTCAATCGACGCCGCCCAGTCAACTAATCGTACATTCAGTGGTAGGGCAGTGCTCATCCGGATATTGTTTCCATTACCAGTGCCGAGATGCGACGAATTGAGCTGGTGCAGAATGTGACCATGAGATGGTCACAATTTGTGTGGTGGGCTTTAAAAGCTCGCTACAAGAACATCAAATGTGCAACCCCTCATGATGCCTAATGGGTTTGTTTACCAATGAAGTAGGACATATTGATGGTTTTCCCATTTTGAGTTCGTTGCTCCGTTTATGTAATGATTATTCAGTTTAATTTTAAACAATATACATTGAGGTTACGGACATTAGCTTCAAACGAGCTGGGCAAGCCGTTAGCGGAATACCTATCTGCAAAGATCGACCGCCCCGTCATTGGACTAAAAGTTTATGCAGGGTAATCGTCGCTTATTCTCGTATGGTCTCATCCACTATATAGGAGATATTTCGGTACGATTTTCAGCATCCGGTATTCTACGCAGAAAATATATAGTTAATCACTTTCTGAGCTGAGCGAAATCCGCTGTTATTAAACACGTGAAGGTAAGTTAGTTACTAGCCATTAACAACCACACGCGCAGTAAGGAATCAGAAGGATGGGGTTTGTAATTATTTTAAGCACAAACCACTTCACGAGTAGCGAATTCTCTTTTTCGTCAAGTACAAATATACAGTTTATTCGATTAAATTTCTAAAAGGGTTTATCAGATTTTCTGTTAGGAAAAGAAGCTTTATGAAAATACTACTTGACGGATAGTGTAAACCAGACTACTTCCCAGGCGGTAATTATTTGTGTAAAATATGTAATGCTCATGTACCCAGGTTTATGGCAGCTAAAAGAAAGTAACTAACTAGAATATCGAAGATTGCTTTTTAAAGAATCTTGCCTTATGAAGGAACAATACAGCCAGCACTTTAGTAGTTACAATAAACACATAAAGTGATGATAGCAGTTATCCTGTTATGATGTAGAAGAATTATACGGATCTTATTACAATTCCATACGCCTCATTCAATATCCAATTTGAAGCATGTATCTTGTCAACTTCTATGCAACAGTTTGATTGATGGGTATTATTTCTTCTGCGTCAACTTCCCACTAGGATTCGTGTGAACGTGACTGTAGAAGTGCACTTTATTGCAAGATTCCGTACACAAACAAGTGGCTGCTGGCGGGTGTGAGAAACTACGGCACGGAAACTGAATACAGACCAGGTACTGGAATATATACTTCGGCAATTACAAGAAATGAGTGGATATGGTCACGGATAGGGAATTTGCCGATATAAACCAACACCCAAATTGCAGCACGCTGAAGCATTCTACAACAATCAGTTTTTTGTTGACATAATAACACACTTTGCTTGGTTTCCACTATAATGTGTAAATGACACTATAAAAGCATGTTTATTAACACACGTATATGCTGTGAAACAGCAAACTCAGATGAAAGATGAAGACGTCCATCAATCTTCTAATTTCGTTAAGAGCAATCATTTATAAGAAGGCAAACCGGGAAGTTTTGCTAGCGCTTTATGACGTTTTCGTTTGAAACATTCTGGAATGCATTGGATTGAAATATTTTTATGAAAAGCTAGGCTAAATATGTACGGCTGCTAATGAATTCAGTAACCATATTCGAAACAGCAATAAGCACAACCGCTGGTGGTTAGAGCGTTCCCTTCTGGCAAAACAATGAATAATTTGCTTTAATGATTTACAGGTAGTAAACAAGCGCTTCACAAGTAGTGTCGAAATGCTGCTTTGCACGCAACACGATGCAGTGATATGCATGTCATCGGCTTATGCAATAGTCAACTTTATATCCAACAGCAAGATTACTTCTTAAATTGTTGCCAAAATATTTGCGAAACCAATTATGTACCGTGTTTTTGTACTTAATAACAGTTTTAAAATAAATGAACTACGCACTAATGCCGTGTAGATTTCCAGATGAAACCAGCATACGCCACAGTCGTTCAAACTAGTGCTTCAGTGCTAACGTCCCTTAGCCTTTTAAACGGCGAGAGTTATGCCTAACATTGCAGATTGTTTTATTACGATTTCGCATTTGGGCAAACTACATTTTTAGTAACCAAATGTAGTTCACATTTGCGACCAAAAGAAAAAAGAAAAATAATGAAATTCTTAATGCTTCTACTGACTTTCACATGAAATACATCTCTTAAGATTTAAAGCCTTATTTAACCATAGATCGCACTTTGTATTCGTAAAATCCTTTGTGTACTAATTGAATGGAAATAAAATAGTGACGCACAATTGATCTCATTAAAATATCACATTTCTTGTTATCAAGTCAAACTAGTAAATTCGGGGAGCTGCAGACTGGTAGGCATTCAGCTGTCGTTAATTTAATGTAACTAACATTAAAATATATATTCCGGATGCATAGCTCTCAAGCCTTTTAGAGCATTAATTGCGGATAAACCTTAATGACGGCATTAAAGAGGAACAGTTATATATATGGATGAAGAAATCGCGAAGGAGCGCAATGGTGTCAAGAGAGCAAGGGTAACCTCGTCATTGTGCGCTGAGCGCAAATTGTTAAACATATTCATCGGATTAGGTTAGAATACTGTACACTGTATGCTGTACCATACAGCAAGTAGAATTTAACTCTATACGACACTTTGAAATATGCTGAAAAACGTTATAAAAATTGTCATCCGTGCTTATGGTTTTGGTTCTCATTTGAAATTTAATATACCTAACTCCGAGTATTGCAGGAGTCACAAATACTACGTGGATCTGTTTCACTACCGAAAGAAAGTCACTGCCCGCTGCTTCACAAAGAAATTGATCGCAATATATGCTATTTGCTAGCACGACGTGTTTATCAACCTCTCTATTGGACTAATAGGCCTGCGGAAAAACCGAGAGCCATCTTCGGCACCATGGGCATTTCCACTCTGCAGTTCTGCAACGGAAACACAGTGGTGTTACGGCGCTTCGGCACCACTATCTCTTTGAAACCAATGATCTTGCCTTTCGTACCAGCATCATTGTCATGAAAATGTATGTACATTTTTGGGCCAAGTACCCTGCCAACACGTATATACGCCGTGTGGTGTACACATGCTTTTAGTTTTGCTGTGGACCTGTCAAACACTTGAGTCGCCCGTACTGGCGTGTCTCATTTCGTCAAGAATATATGTATATTTTCAAATTCAGTGAGTATAAATGTCTCCAGCGTTAAGAAAGTGGGCGTAGGACATGTTCAAATCAAACTGAACGGGGTGCTTTGCTTTCGAGTCCACTTCCGACGTAGGTTAATGGGCTGTAAATTACAGATGGTAGTCATGCTTCCTGGTTCCGCAAACGCAGGCAGCTCAAGCTCGATGTCTGCGAGTAGCATCGGAGAAAATTTTCCGGGGCCTCAATATTACTCGGTGTGATTTGAGGGAATACATAGGTCCTGTTTTTGTTGTTGACCCCATTTCTTCGATTAATGCCGTGTCAGACCTTTATTCACTGTATTAGCGCTTTCTATTACCTCAGTGTCGCATCAGCGGTAACTCAAGTTCGATACCTGAGGTGGGATGTTACGAAGGGTAGAGGTTATTAAATTATTTCTTAGGGGTGGTGGGAACGACTACGGGATGGACACAGCGAGTGTCTGGGACAGTCGAATCACGATGTGGCACCACTATTCCAAGGAAACCGACACTAAACCGGATTGGGACAACAGAACCATAGAAGCGGGGCCACTGGCCAACTCGAGCGGAATCGCTAATGAACGCGGCAAGTTGTCAGAGTGCCTCCAAAAGTCCAAAAACACGTATGGTGTTTGTCAACCAAAATACGGCCTATTCAGGTTATGCCAGTGCAAATACGAGAAAGAACGTGATCATTGCGGTGCGAGACTCCCCAGTTAAGTCAATAACGCTAGTGGTCAATAATCAATAAACCCAAGGAAATTTTTAGAAGGGGTACGCAAACCAATGAGGGGTGCCGGATATTTACAGGAGACCCATACGAGAGATGGACTCAATGTTTTACATGTTGTTTATTTCTCTTTGTTATAGGTCTTCTCAGAGTCGGTTTTTATACGCAGGTGTGGTCAACGCACCGAGGGGTCGAATGAAGGGAGAGGGGGGTGAGGGGAAGGGGGACTAGGTTTAATGTTGAGTGGTAGGTGATTGTGTGGTTGGTTGTTTGGAGTGGTTTTAAATTGGGGATTTTTTTTAGATGGGAGTGGGGTGGGTGGCGGGGGTATTATATTGTTTGGGATTTGTGTTGCGGAGGCCAATATAGTGTGTTAAATTTTGGGTGGTATGGAGGTGACGGGTCTTTTAATCTATTTTATATCGAGGGCCAAAAGGAAAGGTGGCTGTGTAGTGACGGTGGCGTGTTAATAGGAGAGTGAGTATGTGGGAAATGGAAATGGGTGCAGTTGAGGGTGTAAAGATTTATTTGGTGATTTCTGAATAGGTTTTGGGTGCTGGTTGGGTGGAGGGGTGTGGTAGGAAAGTACTTAGGAGGGGGGAAATGTGGGAGGGGATATTAGTGCAGGTTGGAGAGCGGAGGCAAGTTGGGATGATAGGGTGTTGGTGATCTGAGGTTGAGCGAGTGAGGAGAAGTATGAAGTGTTAAGTGTGGTTGTGGGAATAGAGAGCGAGATAGTGTGGTGAATGGTATTATAGCGGCCGGGACTGTGTTGATATGGGCTTGTCTTAATGGTAGGGTCTTCATTTTATTATATACGTTGTTTGGGCTGGGTGGTTGACATGGCCTAGTTTTAGACGTTGGCTAGGTGGACGCGCTGTCAATTCTTCCTGAATAATAGGTTGTTTAAGCTGGTTTGCTGGACCTTTTTGGGGAGTAGTGTTAGCTGTCTTGGTGATGACCTGTAGAATTCGTGTAGAAAATGAATGCGTATACGTGTTCTGTGGTCGATCGGGGATGACATAGCGGTTCTGGGGATGTAGGGTCGCCTGTGTTGGGAGGGTGCATTAGTTGCCCAAACCCCAATGGAGACGCTAGCGGAAACCCGTTACCGGCGCGTGCTAACGATTGGGGGTGCATGATCTCCGTCGTGGTACATGGCCTTTGACGAGACGTGGTGACCCCAAGAGCAACTGTCTTTGAAAACGGCGGAATTCTGCACTCAATTCATGTTTTATACCGAACACGACATGCATATTATATGTTTTTGCAACTTGGTTACGTTCAAATAGTCGAGGCAAAGTCGTGAGCACTATGTTATGGGGTGATTGTGGTTTTACTTTACAAATTGGGAATCGTCCATAGTGGTCAATAAGCATCATGTTGGCCAGGTTGCACAAGGGCTATCCAGCTGCGGTCCTCTTTGTGGGACGGGATGACAATGGTGCTGGCGGGTTCGGACGAGCAGACATTGGGGTTGGGGTGGCTGTCCATGGGGATTTGGGGCATTTGAAGGCTGGGTGGTGTTTACTCACGGTGAAAAGGTTTGTTGGGGTAGCATGGCGTATTACAGCAGGTGCCTGTGATTCGGGAGACTGTCTATAGAATGAACTTTGATTAGGGATTAGTAGGGTGTGTGGGTGTGTAAATAGATAATGGTGGTTCAGTGAGTTGGGCATGTGAACTTGTGGTGTGGATTGGGAGTGTATGCGAGGCTGAATTAGTGGGATTATTTGTGTGGGATTAGTGCTGGTAGGGGGAATGTTGTTTTGGGTGGGTTTATTTTGGGTGGGAATTGAGTGTATGGTATGGGGTGTGTCTTGAGGAGGAAGTGTGTATATCTGACTTAGTGTTTGTTGGTGAGGAGGTTGGTGTAGAAGAGTATTTGGAGTTGGAGATGGAGGGACGGTGTGTAAGTGTAAATCAATTTCAATTTTACAGATGTTGTTCTAAGTGAGGTCTGGATGAATAGTTTGGATTGTTGTGAGTGTCGGGGAAGTCGCTGGGGAGTGAAAGTTTTGAGTGTGAACACGGTTTGGGGGTGAGCAGGAGATGAGCTGTAAGTGTGGGGCTGAGTTATGGGTGGTTGTGAGGGATTTTGATTATGGTGATGAATTTAAGGATAATGGTGGAGAAGGAGGAAGATAGAGTGTGGGTTATGATGCTCGTGGGTAGGGTGTGGAGTGTGGGTAATTGATTGTTAGTGGGGGGTTGGGGTATGGAGGGATTTTGGTTGGAATGATGGGAGGTGGCATTGGGGTGATCGATGGAAATGGTTGGGTGGGGGGGGGTTGGGGTCGATGTTCCTAATGTAGTAAGGCTGGGTGGGGATGGTTTGGTTGTTGTTTTCTGGTATTAAGTATTTGGGATAATTATTATCTTT